CAAAACTAAATATTATATCTTTTCAATGGTAAAAGTCATCAAAACGTCACCTATAAGAGAAAGCTGAAACCCATGAATATACTTGGGAGACATTTGGTGACTTTTTACAGCTATTTTCATTGTTTCATGAACCAGGTCATCTTCATGTTGAAGCAAATGCCTCCCGACATTTTAAATTTTTTGCTGCATAAAGTAAGACAATAGTCTCTGTAACTGAAGCCTCTCCAATGTGATCTTAGTCACTGGGATTACATGGGCTGAAGAATGACTGGCCAAAACACATCCAAGCTAAAGCGGATTAGTCCATTTCCAAAAAGCCTTCTCGCTTTCTACATTTTCCACCCGGGCTGTTGTGTGGCTACTGGTTCTGAACATGGAAAAGACACAAATGATGAGCATAATGTCTCCTTTTATTTTTGCCAAGTATATCTTGGCTGTATGACGTCCGCCCCCCTTCGACCCTGCGCCAATTCCAACTGCCCGGTGTCTTTTACAGCAGGGACCCTTCAGATAATCCCTGGATACCCTCACAGAAAACCCCTTCTATTTTGCAGACGCCACATGGTCAGACGCACTGAGAAAAGTTGCCAGTGACTATAATCTGAGACAACTGCTTGGACCCACATGCCCGGACACAGCGTGCGAGCAGACAGGAGCTCTTTCTGCAATCAGCGATATTGTCACATTGTAGATTGCAGACTATATATACACAGAAAGATGCTAACTATGTACAGAGCAGAAATGAGGTCCAGGAGGGATGCCGAGGATCAGACAAACGGCTATTTTCAGTTGAGACCAGCTGTGACTAATGAGTTATGCAACAATGTAAATAAACTGGCAGTACATGGTGCCTAAGGACAGGAAGAAATGGTAGACAGTATGTGAGAAATAGAGCTGTGAAGAAGTTAAGTAAGAAAGAGTTAATTAACATGTTTCCAGGCATGAGAAATGTGTCAATCCATACAAAAAACACACAGTATACTGAAATAGCAAAGCAAATGGCATGACATTTTCATATACAGGAGTGTTTACTATTTTGTTTATTCTTTAAAAGGCGCCATTAGCACTAAAGGTTCTATATTATGCAAAAATGATTACCTTCTCAAAAACAAACCTGAAGTAGTTTTGTTTCATTCACACATGTTTGAGTAACACTTTCTTATTAGTCTGTCTAAATTTCCAAAGCTCAAAATGTTCTGTTCCAAATTGTGATGTCATGAAGAGGTAGTTTTCAAGTTAACAGCTACTTTTAACATTTTGTTTAGAAAAGATTGGAAATTCCAGGGCTTAAAGGGACAGCTCAAAATTTTGGACATAGGACCTCATTAACTAGTGAGCCAGAGTGTTGGAGATGTGTGGAGACACTTTTTATATATATAACGGTCTTACCCACTCCACAAAGCAGCTGAAGCAAATCTATTATTACACCAGACTATCAATGTAAATGTCTGTGTTGATAGAATAATGTTTGAAATAAAACTAACCTTGCATCGCATGAATCAACGCATGCTGAGGGACTATTTTGTCAAATATCTGTCTGCCGCTGCCAAGCTTTCTATCAGGAAGTACAACTTGCTGCTGCTTAGACGTAAATTCTTGAAATGCAAGGTTGGTTTTACACAGACATTCACATCGACAGTCTGGTGTTATAACATATTTGCTTTGGGTGTTTTGTGGAGTGGGTAAGCCTGTTTTTAGTGGCAGGCTAACTATGGCCATTGACATGCACTAGCCTAGCACCAGCGACCTCTGCAAATACAAGGACTGGATGGAATATTTACAAATGTGTCTCCACATGTCTCCAACACTCTGGCTCACTAGGAAATGAGGTCCTATGTCCAAAATTCCAAATTGTCCCTTTAAATCATCCAAATGGTTCTTGTGAATGTGTATGGAATTTAAAAACACAGTGGAGCACTTCCTGTATTACCACATGGCATCACAAAGTGGCACAGGGTGTTTTCTGCCTAAAAGAAGAACAGACTAAATATGCAGGATTTGTGTGTTAAACATGTGTGAATGAAAAAAAAAAAAAAACACAGCTGATGAGGAAACATTACAACATAGATTAAAAAAAGTGTAATATGGGCCCTTTAAAGACATTAACACAAACAAGAAACATAAAACATACTTATTCTTGTCTCAAAACAGTACAAAGCATACTTTTAAAGTGGAAAAATAAAAGACTTCATTCATTTACAACAGCAGAATAATACTTGTCTCCTGCTTTCTATTGGAATGCAACAAGGTCTAACCCTGTGCGTCACACAACTGTCCTTATTTTGTACAATTACAGAATATATCTTCTGTTAATCATTTTTATAATATTTAGAACAAAATACTGCATATAACTTACTTGACCTTAGTCTCATAGTGTTTAGGGCTTCACTTCCGAATTCTGCAGAAAAAACTTGTAAGCCGCCATGTTTGTTTTGGCACAAACGGACCATGCGTTTCTGATTTGTTTTTCCACCTGTCAATCATGGCCATAAAAATTGAGGAGACAAGAAATGGCTCCAGACTATAATGTGTTTGAAACATGGTATAAAAGTGGCTGACCATGTAAGAATATTACTAACACAAATGTGACAGTTTAGTTTATCTAATGACCATAAAATGACAAAAACTTAGTTAAAGTTAAAGGTGCACTGCGTAAATTTTTGTTTGGTGTCCGTCACCTGTGTTTTTCTATGGATATGTCATTACTCTGCCTGGAATGTTCCACAGTATGACATTAAGCAGTTCTACCTTACATATTCAATTACAGGTGGTTTTATAGCTCAAAAATACCAAAAAAAAAAACAGATATTCTGACTGTGAGTGGGGACGCCTCTCCACAGATCTGACCCGTAACTTGGTCTGGTTTGGTCTACAAGTTGATAGAAAGGTTTAACACCTTCCAGACAAAGCATTTAAAACATTGCAACGTATCTGACTGACCCTTCACCAGAAAAGTTGCACAATGCGCCTTAAGAAGTCCATACTTGAGACTAAACATCTGCTAAATCCAGAGCCTGTAATAATGCCTTTAATATGGCAACACGATCTGTAAATATTCACTTTAATGTGGTACTGCGCCTTCACCGTCACTGAAGGTCAGATAGGACTGTCACCTTGAGCTGCGTGCATTATCTGTTTAGTCAATAGCGGTGAACTGCATAATTGTTTTCTTATTTGTTCTGTTGGTTTGTTCAGTCTTATGTATGTGTGCCCCCCGGTAGACAGCATTATCTCTGTCTCTACGCTGCGGAACTAACTGCCTCACTGAGGACATCAAAGATTTTCCCTTCTAATCTGATCTCTTTAGTGCACACAGGACGCACGGCTGATACTCTGCAGTTCTAATTTTAACTGTTGGGAGAAGAAGAGGGCCACTTGTGCTAACGCTGGATAAGAATGAAGTACCGTGATTGATAAGGTCTGGACAGAGAGCAAAGGTTGAGTCTGGGTCTGTATCTGTTTGGCATTTACAGGTGACTCGTGCAGGACCTTTGGAGAGATTAACGTGGATATGATAGACTAGTGTTCTCATTTAACTTAAAGAAGGAGTATTTATTGATTGCTAACACATAACATATTTAGATCACCATGTCACCTTTTATTATTTTGAAATATTCGCAAACCAATTTGAAAACAACCTATCAATATGCTTTATAAAGATTACATTTTCTATTTTATGCTCTGACATCCCCCTCCATTCACAACGCTATCACAAAACAAATGGCGTGCATTTAGCTCATGAACCTACTGCACATCACATCAGGTTTGTGAAGTTGTAGTTTATTGTTTTGTATCACGCTTTTGTAAATTTATGCTAAATTGTCATATGAGAGCAGGTTTGTGGACTGAGCATTGAACAGAATTGTACTGCAAACTATAAGAAGGGTTCGAATAGGGCCTGGGGGAGATCACTAGATTACTCAAACATGCATGGATAACATATATGCATGCATGTTGTCACAGTGCAATATTATCACTTTCATGGTACAAGATTTAGTGCAATATTTTAAGCCTATTTTATTTAACTGAATTGTAGATATGCAATTTTTCATTTTAAAATGTTTGACAAATTAATCATGATTTGATTACGTTCTGTTTGTGGTCTAGTTACTGTGCGTCGTAATCGGGGCTGGGTATGGTTTGACTTTTTCAATACTAGTACTTTAATGATACCTGCTTACCGGTTCCTGCACGGTTCTTTTTTCTCTGCCTGTGCATTATCTTATGTAAATTAATGGCCAATATAAATAAGAAAATACTCTATATACTTTCAAGCCTTGAATTATGTTATAACTATGTTAACATTTAAAATATAGTACTGGAATATCCCATGTTCAGTTATAACTCAGTTTCACTTTTGTTTTCGCAGCATATGGCATTTTATATTAAAGGTAGCACTTGGAACACCTGCTTTTTGTTTTGACAAATAACTTTACTTTTTTGCCAGGACGAAGGAAGAGGACTATGGATAACTTTATGCAGTCTAGCTTTCGGTATCAGTACTTACAGGACGTTTTCAGTAGGTTCCTTCTTGGACCCGAATTTCGGTACCAGCCCGAGTTATAATTTTAAGCTTTAAGAAAAAAAAAAAAGTCACTACAGCACCTCTATGCATCAAATACAGAGGAATCTCAATTCATCATAAAAGCCTGTCGGAGAGTGCTCTGATTTCAGGGCCTACTCCTGGTCGAGGGTTTGACAGACGTCTATTTGAAGGGAAAAAGGATAGACTTGTCAGCCATTAGCAGGTCCTCCCCTTTGTTGCGGTGTCAAGGAGTCAAAAAGTGTAGATTGGGTTCACTACATGACAGACTTGCTGAAAGAAAATGGCCATTTCAGAGAAGTGGACTGAATATATCACATGACCCTGAGATGGAAAAAGGATCTATAGATTGAGGATGTGAAATGTCAAAGGGGGAATTTAAGTGGTGCAGCCTGGATTCCAAATGGGAACAAGTTTAGACTCAGATGTATAAGAGTGTATAAAGAGATTTTCTGACCTTCATAGTTGAGTTTGAAGCCGTGTGCAGAGACGGCGAAGTCACTGGTCAGTCTGAGAGAGAAGACGTTCCCTGTACTCGTGACCGGCGTGGGAACCTGGAACCCAGTCAGCCTGTGGAAACAAAAAACAAACATTTATTTTTAAGACTGCCTGTTCAGAAATCCATTTTTGTATGCAAGTTTTGTTAAGGATCATTGCACCATTAAAACTCGTCTTCATTATTTATTATAGAAGATGTTCATATTGTATATATAATCTCAGTGAACACATGGAATCCATTACTCAAAGTTTGCCATTTGAAAAAGTCATATTGAACTGAATAAAAATACCCATTTATGTATATCTCTTCATTCAACCCATAGACGGTATAAAGAAATAGACTAAGTGAGTGTTACATTACCCACAGCGCTTGGCTCCAATCAGATGAAGCTTTTAGGGGCGGTTTATACGGGATAATTTGGAAAAGACTTCTATATTAGGAATAGGAATTTATTTACGGACAAAAGAGCGAAATAAAAACACCATGATCATGTAGAGCGAATATTTTAAGAGTAAAATCATGAGGCTCGCTGCAGCTGTTACAGAGAGAGTGGTGACAAGTTTTCAATGTAAAGTCAATTGGAGCCAGAGTCAGTGGAGCTGGAAGTGTCCCCATGCTCACTTCCTACCTGGAGAGTGGTGGCTCATGGGTTAGCTATGTCCATCTGCTGAGAGAACTGGGTGTAAATGAGGATACAGAATTGTTATGATGCTCCGGTCATTATAAAGACATTCTATTTTTGTATGTTTGATTTTATGAACTTTAACATCGACCTGCCCAGGGACTACAGGTCGAAACTAGTACTGGCACTTGAACCTGGTCCAATGCACCTCTCCTGTTAAGATTAATGTAGATATTGCACTGTCACTGTCTCATAAATAACTAAACTAAACTAAACTAATTTATATATACAGTCTATGGTTCAACAGACAGCTTGTTTCGAAGGATATATTATTAATTTGTTTGGAAAGTTCCAGAGTATGCCATGATGAATCTCAATTTACATATTAGAACTATGGAGATGCAAGCACACTCACAGTAAGAATTCATGCTTTTCAAGATTTTTGGAGCAAATACAACAACTGTAACGGAATAAATGTAATACATAACTTTCATGCCATATTGTGGAATATTCCAGGCAAAGCAGTGATAGCTCCATGGAAACAAACAGGTAGCAGCATCAACAGAAAGGTTACACAACGCAGACCAAACCCAGAAACGTTTATGCTGTCGAAGTTTTCAGCTTGTCCAAGAAAGGGTAGAAGCAAAAGGATGGAGACCAACTGGATGTCTTATGCAGGAGAAGTTTATTTATCATCAATAATTGGGGCCCGTGAGGATTGAAAAGTCAACATAGTATGATTTCAAAAGAGAACATAGTATGATCTTTGAGTGCTCAAACCCCTTGACTATGCTTCCGGAAAAGGAGGAGGTTTATAAAGCAAGTGTGGTGAGACTACGAAGGCCAGTAGGCACCGGTTAGTCAGGAATATGCCACAATTTAGATAGTGGTGTGCCAATTTTATGCCAAGAGAAGATCATGGTGTGAATATAGCTTTTGTGTGTCCATGTAAAACTGAGATGTACGTGGAAGATAAATTACTTCAATTCCCTTACAGTTTAGGAGTCAAATCTGTGCTGTCCACGTGTGTTTTCACATTTACTGGGCTCAAACTGACTATAGGATTGTTATGTATGGTTAGAGCTTCTATAATTTGGTGCAGTACTTTTTTTTTTTTCTTGTCCGGGAGCTACCATTCTAACACAGCTACTTCCTCTGACTGCTCCCCTCTTTGATCTCGTGTCCTTACTGTCTCTCCTATATCCTTCAGCTCTTTCCTTTCGCCTTGACTTCCCCATGGCTCTCCAGCCCGGACTATTCATTTCACTGTTCAGATTCTCTCCTTCAGTGGCATTTAACTATATGCCACAGACTGTAGTTGGTGGACCACCTTTGTCCTTTTCTACTGCCCCTCTCCTGGATTCATAAAGTAAGCTTTCTAAACTTCTGTAATCCTCACCCCAGGTCCAAACCAATGCATCCAATTCTAGCTCTTTTTGAAATAACCTTAACTTTGTGGGTATGTCTTACTGTGAGTATGTCTTCAGTCTATAGCACAGTACTCTGCCCTTCGCAATACTTATATTATATAAGTATGAGAAGAGCAATTGTGCCTATATACATTTCTGAGTTGAAAGTGGAGCTAAAGCTGACAAAACTGATCAAATAGTATGACGTAAATCTTTTATATTAGGCCACAATATTATTACTAGCATCACGAATGTGTCTAGACTTTAACTGTGCGTCTCAGAATGATAGAAAGTTCACTCACCCAGGAATAATTTGCTTCTATATTTTACCCTTATGATTAAAGAAGACTATTGTGCTTGTGGCTGCTATAACAGTAGAATGAGTATAAATCCCAACAAAGAGCAGTGAAGTTGTGGGCCTTTTCTATGGATAGATGCAGATCATACGAGAGAAGAGTTTACCAAACTTTTTTTCTGGGGACCCATATTTTAAAAGTCACAAATCTTTACGACCCAAGTCAAGAGACATTATTCGTAAATCAGAAAATAAATTTGTGACCATTATTGAACATTAATGAAGATATTTTATTGTTGACTGAGTGATCATGTCTCTCTGAACAATTAATATAAGTCAAGTTTTAAACAATGAAAAACAGTAATCAGTGGTTCTCACAGAAAATGGGGGATGCGCGGAGATTCTGTAAACGGAGAAGAGGTGATCAGTGGGGAGGGTGGACGAAGAAGAAGTGAGGAGCGGGAAGGGTGTGGACATTCCATGCATGGAGAAGAAGTGAGGAGCGGGAAAGGTGCATGGAGAAGAAGTGAGGAGCGGGAAAGGTGCATGGAGAAGAAGTGAGGAGCGGGGAGGGTGCACGGAGAAGAGGTGAGGAGCAGGGAAGGTGCATGGAGAAGAATGTGAGGAGCGGGAAAGATGCACGGAGAAGAAGTGAGGAGCGGGAAAGGTGCATGGAGAAGAAGTGAGGAGCGGGAAAGGTGCACGGAGAAGATGTGAGGAGCGGGAAGGGTACAAGGAGAAGAAGTGAGGAGCGGGAGGGTACAAGGAGAAGAAGTGAGGAGCGGGAAGGGTACAAGGAGAAGAAGTGAGGAGCGGGGAGGGTGCACGGAGAAGAAGTGAGGAGTGGGAAAGGTGCATGGAGAAGAAATTAGGAGCGGGGAGAGTGCACGGAGAAGAGGTGAGGAGCGGGGAAGGTGCACGGAGAAGAGTGAGGAGCGGGAGGGTACAAGGAGAAGAAATGAGAAGCGGGGAGGTACAAGGAGAAGAAGTGAGGAGCTGGGAAGGTGCACGGCGAAGAAGTGAGGAGCAGGAAAGGTGCACAGAGAAGAAGTGAGGAGCTGGGAAGGTGCGGAGAAGAAGTGAGGAGCGGAAGGTGCACGGAGAAGAGGTGAGGAGTGGGAAGGGTACAAGGAGAAGAAGTGAGGAGCGGGAAGGGTACAAGGAGAAGAAATCAGGAGCGGGGAGGGGGTACAAGGAGAAGAAGTGAGGAGCTGGGAAGGTGCACAGAGAAGAAGTGAGGAGCGTGGGGTGCTTGAAGATTTATGTATATGTATATTGCAGCCCTACATGCAGATTGTGACATAGCAACCCTCAAAAAATCTCTCGCGACCCAGTCTTTGGCAAACAATGCACCAGAAAGCCACAATTCATTTTTTTCCCAGTCGTACCAAAATGGCTCTGCAACACTGCTGAATTGTACGTGTTCTACCGATTAAGAAAATACAGTTGCAGAACAGAGCAGAAGGTGTATGCCAGTGGTGAAAACAGGGGCTGATCTGCAAAAATCATTTTGAAAATAAGCGATTTAAGATTGTTCAAACATGCATGAATCACTCCAAATACAACTTTGGGTGAGTAAATGGAGGGGAAACAACTTTAACATGGTTGAAAGCTCTTAAAAGTCGATTCTTGCATAATAGGCCTGCTTTAACGCTCGATATATTTTATCTGTTGAAATTTGGCCAAATAAAATACAGAATAGGACATCTTATCATTTTAGTTTATGCTCTTTTGTTTACTTCTCTTATGTATTGTGCTGTTATTTATGCTTTGTACAATACTGCAGTCCTATTTACTGTTATCTTAAGCACTTTGGGAAGCTGAAGTTGTTGTAAACACGCTGTATAAATAAACTTGAATATAGTGCGAAGGGCTTATTTTTGGTATAAACCTGTCACTAATTAGAATCTATTTTGTTTGAAGTCTAGATGTGTTTTTTAGCTATCCAAACTCAACAAAAATAACTTCAAGGAAACATGCTTCTAATCGCAACTTTTGTATTTCATCCTTATTGCCTCCGCAGCTCAGTCCATCCTCCATTTTGAACTTCCTTTGTCATCTCTGTAATCACGACATCTCTTTGCTGTTTATTCCATTACCTCCTCACCCTCACCTCCTCTGCTGCTGCTATAAGCTTTTCCGCTTGGTTACCCTGTGCACACTTTGGAACTAATTATTCAGTTTTTATTTATCTCGTCAAATATCACAACAAGAGAAAATGTGCCTGGGGACTTCTCACAAATCCTCGATCCTTGGACCACTCACCTTTTGCTTCCTGCCACAAAAACAAAACATTTTCAGTGGTGGCAATGATTTCTCTTCCAAGGTCTAATATTTTTGTCAAATTGTAATGTTCCCATGCTAAAAGACTAAAACTTTAATTTTATTATTGCAATTTTAATCTCTACAGTTGCATTTTAAGGTGCACTATGTGGCTTTTCTGGGGGGTCTGCCTTTTCTGTTTGTACCTTAGCTGTGCCTGGAACTTTTGCTCTTGATATTATATTGTGATGTGTGAGCAACTGTGCCTAGATATTGCTGCCCTTGCTGATAAATAAAGTTTACTGAAAGAGTTTGCCCTGGGCAGCTGTGGCTACAAAAGAACCTCACCACAAATATGTGTGAGCAATGAATAATTCACCATAAGCATGGGTAGTGGAAATTACTATATTTTGTAACATTTATTTCAGTGATGGGCGCAGTGCATTTACTTAATCTTTCGAAAAAGAACATAAGCAGAGGACT